CACCCAGGATCCTGAAGTGTCCCAAAAAACCTGGATTCTGTCCCCAAAACTCACTTTTAGCATCACCCTCGATCCAGTGCTCACTCGGGAACACGGAATCCATGGACGGGAGGAATTCCGAGCCTCCCCTCGCTATTCCAGCAGCTGCCGCCTCTTTGAATTGTTTAATTTGGGAGGGAAAGAGGAAATCCACGGTGTTTGATCCCTTGTCCCAGTTGGGAACATGCTCGAGGAGATGCCAATAAAGATTTATTCATTTTTCCCTGCTGGAAAACTTCCTGGAATCCCACATTTCCCCGAGAGGAGGAGCAGAACGAGCAGCTCACGGGTGTGACTTTACCCTCACGGGCTGGGGTTTTATTTATTTATTTATTTATTTATTTATTTATTATGGAGGGGCTGACAGGACAGAGAGGATGCTGCCCCCATCTCCAGAGTGGATATTTGTATTTTTATTTGTATTTATGTCTTGTGTTGCTTCCTAGCAGTGGAGGGAAAAGCCCCACAAATAAAGGTAATTTCAGTCCAAACCATTCCCTCGGGCTGGGGTGCAGCAGGAAGCACCTGCAGATTCGGGATGGGGCTCCTTGACCAAAGAGAAAAAAAAGTCAAATTAAAAAAAAAAAAAAAAAAAAAAAAAAAAAAATCCTGCGGCACTTTGCTTCCCCCATCGATAACATTTTAATTTCCCGAGCTGCCAAGCCAAGATCCAGGGCCAGGTGCAGCCGGGAGCGGCTCAGCGGTGCCTCTTTAGTGCCGCGAATTCCCGATAAATTAATAAATCAATAAATCAATAAATTACTGCTGCTCCTTAAATCCTCTCCCACTGCCGGCACGACGGGACTTTGGGGGGATCCTCCATGGAAAACCGGTCTGAGCGTCACTTTTAGCCCCTTTGTGCCCCATGAGGGTCCCGACCCCAGAGTGTCTGTGTCCCCGCATCCCAAACCCCGCATCCCAAACTCCGCATCCCCAGTCCCGCATCCCAGCCCCGCATCCCAAACCCCGCATCCCAAACCCCGCATCCCAAACTCCGCATCCCAAACCCCGCATCCCAGCCCCGCATCCCAACCCCGCATCCCGCCGTGGTCCAGCTGCGAGAGGATGCTCTGGCGGGGGAGCGGGAGCACCATTGAAACCAAACTTGAATTTCCTTCGGCTCTGCAAACCCTGGGCGGTGCTGGGGGGAGGGAGGGGACGCAACTGAGCACTGACAAAGTCGAGAAAAGGACGGAAAAAACCCCAAATATCGCAACAGTGCTGCGTGCTCTGAGAGAAAACAAACACCATGGGAGGGCTGACTTAGGGGTGCGGGTTTGCTGCGAGTCCCCCCAGACCCGGGCACGGTGCCGGGTGAGGGGTGAGGGGGCAGCGGGGTCCGGGGGGGGTCTCGGGACCGGCGGATTTTGGGGCGTGCCCGGGGCACCCCCACGGAGCCGAGCGCGCTCCGAGCGCTTTTGGCCGTGCGGAGCCGCCGTAGCGGGGTCACGTGGGCTGCGTGGGGGCGGAAGTGGCGGCGCGGGGCGATGGAGGGGACGCTGGAACAGCACCTGGAGGAGACGTGCGGGGACAGGGGGACACGGGGGGACAGGGAGGGACACGGGGGGATGGAGGGGACACGGGGGACAGGAGAGGACAGCTGGGACGGGGGGAACAGGGGTGTCAGGGAGGGACACGGAGGTGTCAGGGAGAGGGAGGGGGGCGACACGGTGGGGACAGGGGGAACGGGGCAGGCCCGCGGGGTGAGGGGAGCTGGGAGCTGGGCCTGGGCCGGCCCGGGGGTCCTGGGTGTGAGCGCCGTTCTCTCCCGCAGCATGAAGAGCCCGGCTGTGGTGGGCGTCCTGTGCACCGACTCGCAGGGGCTCAACCTGGGCTGTGAGTGAGCCGGCGCCGCGGGGGAGGGCACCGGGGCCTGGCCGAGCCCTCTGTGGGCTCCTGGGTTGGGGGACAGCGGGTCCTGGCCGTCCCCTCCAAAGGCCTCCCTGGGCTGGGGGCACCAGGCCCTGCCCCTCTCCTGCTGAGGGTGGGGGGCACCGCATTAGGGACACCGAGCCTGCCCAGTGCCTTCAAGGGCTCCAAGGGGTGGGGACACCTGGCACTGCCCCTCGGAGGTGCCCCAGCCCTGTCCAGTCCCTTTTAGGGCTCCCTGGGTTGGGGAGCCCCAGGCCCAGCCCTAGCAGAGCCTCCCCAGCTGGGGGTACCGGCCTTGTCCTGCATCAGTGCCACTCTGAGGACACCAGGCCCTGCTCTGCTGTCCTACCCCCACCTTTGGGTGTCCCCAGGGGCCACCCCCTGTCTGTGCCTCCCAGGAAACCGAGGCCATCTCTTCCTGACACAAATCCAGGGGTTTTGGTGGATGGAGAGGAGTCATTTGGGGAGATGCTGTGTCAGCCCCCAGGGAGGGAAATGGGCTGGGGGAGGCCAGCAGGGCTCTCCCAGAGCTCTGCCCTGGTTCACAGGGCTTTATCCATCCCCTCCCATCTCACAGGCAGAGGGACCCTGTCAGATGAGCACGCTGGCATCATCTCAGTGCTGGCCCAGCAGGCAGCCAAGCTCACCTCTGACCCCACTGACACACCCGTGGTGTGCCTGGAGTCTGACAATGGGTGAGTTCCCAGCCTGCAGCTGCCACTGTCCCCACACCTTTGCCTTTCCCCAGCCCTGGGAGCCTCCCAGAGTCAGATCCCTGGAGCAGCTCCTTGTCTGGAGCTCTAGGGGGAGGAAGCACTGCCATAGGCACAGTCATTGCATTAATGGGATTTTAAGAGACAGGAGATGTGAAAATGGGAAACCTTTTGGGGAAGGGGTGGTTACTGCAGCTCAGTAGCTCTTTCTCCCTTGGGATCCCCGTGGATAACCAGGGCTGGGATCCCTGTGGATAAGGAATGCTGGGGTCCCTGTGGATAAGGAATTCTGGGGTCCCTGTGGATAGGGAATTCTGGGGTCCCTGTGGATAAGGAATGCTGGGTCCCTGTGGATAACCCAGGCTGGGATCAGTCAGTGAGGCAGCAGGGACCTCTCCATCGCTGTTCATGGAGTGGGGAGATGGAGTACTCAGGGTGTGGGGTGGGGATGGGGCCTGTGGCTGCTCAGTGATTCCCCTGCCCACTTCCCACCCCCACCAGCTGCTCCTGTCCCAGCTCCCCTCCTTCAGCACTTTCTCCCTGCAGGAACATCATGATCCAGAAGCACGACAGCATCACCGTGGCAGTGCACAAGCTGCTGTCCTGAGCCCTGGGACCCAGCTCTGCTCCCAGCTCCTCCCTGCACTGCCACTCTCCCTTTGGAGCTCCACCCTGGGATGAAGGCTCTCCATCCCCTCTCACCAGCTCCTGGGCAGCTCCCCGGGTCTCCAGCTCACATTTTAACCCTTGTACTGCTGAGGATGAACTCTGGGCATGCCCCCAGGCCCTGTAACAAGCAGATCCTCCCTGCTGTGTGTGGGGCCTCATTTGTTGGAGAAATCAATAAATGACCTGTAAAAAACCTTCCTTCCTTCTCTGTGCTCTGCTGGGAGAGCTGGGCCTGGTGTTTCGTTTCCAAAGCCAGGCAAGGTAATTTTCTCCCACTCCCTCCATTAACATTTCTGGAGAAAAAGATTGGAATTCGTGGAGGCTCCTCCAAGACAAAAGGTACAAATGCTTTCTGAGGAATTTCTCCTAGGAAACATTTTGCCTCCTCAAGTTAAACATTCTGTGGGAGTTACTTGCTCACTGTGCCTTGGGTTGAAGTTCAAACCTGGACGTGCTGGCCCTGCCAGGGCCCTGGGAGCTGTACAGGGATCTTGGAACCTCCTCACAAATCCAGGTCCCTCTCCCTCTTGCAGGTTTGAAACGCTGCAGGGAAACAATCCTGCAAAAAGATGGGAAACTGCTACACTCCAATGGTTCTGTGTGCTGGGGAGGGAAAAGGAGCTGGGCTCAGCTGCAGGAAGGGGAAGTTTCACAGCAGGGCATGAGGTAAAACTTGGGCTGAGTCAGAGTGAAATGACATTGTCACTGCTCTGACTTTACTCCTCAGGCAGTGACAGTCACAGGCTCACACAGGAGCAGCCCCTGCCCGGCCAGGCTCCTCACTCCCCTTCAGCTCAGTGTTCATCTGGAGCAAAGCCCTGATCCTGGCATTTCCAGGCTCCTCTGTGGTGGCCCTGGGGACTCCTCCCCTCTCCCTCCATCCCGCAGGCTGGGAGCAGCTGGAGATTCCCCCTGGGCATCCAACAGCTCTGAGTGCAGATCCTGTGCCCCTCTGCCCCCTCCTTCTGGCCCTTAAACCACACCTTACAAATCTCATCCTGCTTAAATAAAGCTCAGTGTACATATTGAAATCCTCCTGTAGGGAAAGCTCCTCCACAGGCTCCCGTAGATCCTGGGCTCCTCCAGAATGATGAAGCTTTTGCATTCTTTGCCAAGGGAGACCAGAGAACGTCACTGTCCCTCAGTGATGCCAGTTTTCTCTGAGCTCAGGAACGATTGGGGGGAAAGTCAGCCGAGAGCAGGGGAGGAAGCAGCAGGGCTGTGTTTACCCAGGAGTTTGGGCAGATTTACAATGGAGGCAGGGAGCCAACACCAACCCTGCTCAAACCCCAGCGCCGCCCCGGGGCGGCAGCAGCGCGGCTGCTCTGTCCAGCTGGAGAATCCAAGATTTCCACCCAAGTTTTCCAGCCTATCCCCTCCTCAGTGGTGCAGTTTCCCGGGCCGAGGGCTGTGCAGGACAGGCAGGGACAGGGCTCTGCTCCTCCGCAGCCACCGGCAGCCCCAGGTGGCTCCAGTCCAGCTCTGCCCCCCGGCTCTGCTCTGGGGAGATCCCGAGCTTTCCCCGGAGTCAGAACTTCGCAGGCTCCCCCTCCTTTTCCCTCCCAACAGGATTGCTGCTCCAAACGTCCCGGGTTTCCTGTTGCAGCTGGGGAAGGGGAGGGACTCCCAGCCTTGGGGCCTCACAAGCCAAGCTCTGCCTCCAGAGAGGAGGAGGAGGAGGAGGAGGAGGGGGGTGGGCTCTGTCCCCCAGCGCTTGCCAGGCTCCATGTCCTGCTCAGGACAGACACCATCATCCTCACCGGATGGGAATGAAGGAGCAGACTCTGGGGTGCCAAGTGAGGAAGGGGGGATTTAATCTCTGGAGCAAATGAAGACACTCTGAAGAGTTTCCTCTTTGCTGTCGACTACTCCGGGGAGGATTTTCCAGCATGCAGCAGCAAGGGGGTAAGGAAAAGTTCCAGGATCATCATCCCTGGTGCTGTAGGGTCCAGCAGCTCCCTCGGGCAGGATCCTGCCTCTGCCAGAGGGACGGGGTGGGTGAGAGGATGGAAGGAAGACAAGCAGAGAAAGATGGAGTGGGAAGAGTTTCCCGGAGAGCTCCGAGGTGGATCCAGACAGTGACCCCAGGGCTTCTGGCACAACCCAAACTGCTAAAGCAGCACTAAGGCACTTGCCCGCCCTTAAAGCTTAAGTGATTACAGTAATTTGGTGGGAATGAGAAAGAATATTAAACTGCTGCCAGAGAGGGATAACGTGGAATTGTCAGAAAGTTTGGTGAAAGCATCACCCGAGGCAGTGCGGAGTGGGCTGCAGGGCAGCACTGCCTGCACGGGAATGGTTCGTGGATGGAAACAGGAACGGGGGAAGGTGCTCAGGAGTCCTGGAATTCTCCTCAGCAGGGCGCAGGAAGGAGGATGAAGAGCTGGAGGCTCCGGAGGCTCCGTCAGCTGGGAAGAGCCGAGGCACGGCAGCAGCAGCCGGAGGGTGGGCGTGGGGAGTGGTGTTCCACTTCTTCCTGGTGAGCAGGGAATGAACCAAACCCTCCTGGGCTGGGGCAGCGGGAAGGCTCCAGCCTCGCTCAGAGGAGAGCACAGGCTGATCCCATCCCAGGGCACAACCCAGGCACGCCATTCCCTGTGGAATGCCTCCTGCAAACGCCTCAGTGAGGGACAAGAGGGTCCCCTTGCCAGGATAAGATGGGTTCCATAAGATTTCCCTACTCAAACACATCACCACGGGGGTGTCAAACCCCAAAGGGGTGTCCTGTCCCTTTCAAGGCCAGGATCCCACCTTGAGCAGGGAGGTGGGAGCCAGGGACTGACTGGGAGCAGCACACACTCTGGGGTACTCTCTGGGAGGACCAGGCACTTCAACACCACTTAAAGCCACCAATTCTCTGTGCCCCAGGCTTTATCTTCCCACCAGTGATGAATCCAGGAATTGTGAAGCTTGGAAGAGACCTTTAAGGTCACTGAGTCCAACTGTAAAGAAGGCACCCTCCCCCAAACTTCCCTCACTTCAAATCCACCCCAAATAACTCTCTGCCAATCATTAACCCCCTGCTACCAGGGAGACAACAGGAGTTAAAATTAAGGACACAGTCTGTCCTTTGCCCCTGTGGCAGAGAGATCCTGGGAAACTGCCCCAGATAATGTCCATCCCTGCTGCCCTCATCCCAGTGATCTTTGAACTGATCCATTTAGACTATTGCTGCAGTACCAAAAAGTAACTTAAGAGTTACTTAAACCAGAGTTGAGCTCTAGTATTACTTTGCTCCTTTCCTTAGTTTGCAGAGTGTTTTCTGAGAGCCTGCTGAGATCAAACTGGCCGTGGCCAGCCCACCCTGCTGGCATTCCCCAGCACCAGGTCAAGTGTCCCACTTTGTTTCTCCCACACCACCACAAAAGGAGCAGAAGGATTTTCCTCCCTCCCGATGCCCTGTGGCACCTCACCTCCACCCCCTCTCAATTCAGGTCAATGTGCTCGTCATGGGGATGCTCAAGACCTTTGGGATTTTCTTCGTGGCTTTCCGAGAGGAGATGGGGGGATCTTCAGAGCAGGTCAGCTGGATCGGCTCCATCATGTCCTCCCTGCGATTCCTAGGAGGTGAGCTGGTGTCCCCAGGGACTGGAGCAGTGCTGCAGCCTCGGCTCTCCCTGCCCTGGGGGCACTGAGGATGCTCTGTGCATCCAAATCCCATCCCAGACTGCTCCAGACTGGACATGGCTGCACCCACACGTGTCTGAGCTGGAGGGTGCTCTGAACACAGGGCCATAGTGGGAAGAAATTGGAAATTGGGAATAAATCCTTCCCTGTGAGAATTGGAAATTGGGGAGGAATTGTTCCCTGTGAGGGTGGGCAGGCCCTGGCACAGGGTGCCCAGAGCAGCTGTGGCTGCCCCTGGATCCCTGGGAGTGTCCAAGGCCAGGTTTGGGGCTTGGAGCAGCCTGGGACAGTGGAAGGTGTCCCTGCCATGGCAGGGGTGGCACTGGATGGGCTTTAAGGTCTCTTCCAACCCAAACCATTCTGGGATCCTCTGAATGCCACTGTAGGTTTATTGTACAGATCAGAGCAAAGAACACTCTTGTCCCAGCTGTGGAATCATTTGGAGGTGCTGGGCACGGTGTGATTGAGGAAGGAGGCTCAGGAGAGCTGCAAGGTTGGGCTGTGCCTCCTTCCCTGCCCCATTCCCCATTCCCTGAGCTCCCGGGTACAGGCACAGCCTCTCTCCTGAGCATTGACCCATCCCAAACCCCAGCACCCCCTGCCTCTCCAGGCTGCACATGGAGCCACATCCACATCCCAGTGGTCCCAGCCAGGTCCCCAAGCCCAGCCAAAGCAGCTTTTGTCCCCTCAGCCTGAGCTGTCCCTGTCTCCTTGCAGCCCCGCTCGTGGCCGTGATGTGCCGGCGCCTGGGAGAGCGCCCAACCTCCATCCTCGGGGCCGGGCTGGTGGCCGGGGGCTGCCTGCTCAGCACTCAGGCCACCAGTGTCCCCTTCCTCTGCTTCTCCATGGGACTCCTCCCGGGTGAGATGGGCATGAGCAGATCATCAGCTCCTTTACCTGGAAGCTGGGGAAGGGTCTGGAGGGGGAGCAGCCAAGGGTTTGTTCAGCTGGAGGAGCCTGAGGGGAGCAGGGACAGCCAGGGAAGGGCTGGAGCTGTGCCAGGGGAGTTCAGGTTGGATTTTGGGAAAGGTTCTTTCCCCAGAGGGTGCTGGGCACTGCCCAGGCTCCCCAGGGAATGGGCACAGCCCCAGAGCTCCAGGAGAGTTTGGACACTGCTCTCAGGGGTGCACAGGGTGGGATTTGGGGGTGTCTGTGCGGGGCAGGGGTTGGACTGGATGATGCTGGTGGGTCCCTTCCACTTCAGGATATTCTGGGATTCTGTGAACCTTCAGTGCCAAAGCGTCCCCAGCTCCTTTCTGTGAGACGTTGTGCAAACTCTCAAAGCCTTGTGCTCAGAATAAAACACCAATTTCAACACTCCACTCCCAACTAACCTCGATTTTTTTTCCCTGGTACCTACACGGATCCTGGCCTTTTAAAACCCCTTATAAAAGGGCAGAGCCTCCAATCCCCCAAATACCAAACCTCCACCCACCAAACCTCGCTGTCCCCTGAGTGTGACAGCAGAAATCCCCTCCTTTCATCCTGGGAACGCTGCAGAGCCAGGGACCGTGAGCTTGGGCTAGCAGGGCATGGAATCCCCACCCAGGAGTGGCTGTTTGGGCACAGAATTCTCATTTCCACCCTTGCACAGGGATGGGCTTTGCCTGCCTGTACCAGGCGGCCGCGGTGATGACGGCCAAGCGCTGCCGGGCTCGCCTGGCGTTCTGCAATGCCCTGGCTCGCTCGGGGATGGGGCTCACCTTCCTCATGGCCCCCTTCACCCAGCTCCTCATCGAGGCATACAGCTGGCAAGGTGAGCCACCGCCTGCCTGCTCCTTCAAATTCGCCTCTGAGAAAATGTTTGGGGAGGTCTGGGCAGGGGTAAGAGGTTCTTTTTGAAAATTCCGCGGGAATTTTAAAATGTAATTAAAGTTTAAAATTTAGTTTTAAAACACTGGGGGGAGGGGGAACTCTGCCTCTTCTAGGATAGTTTGGGGATATGTTGTTAATAATTAGACACTTAACCACTAATGAATGAGTGGTTAAAAAAAATCAGTAAGTAAAAAGTAAAGTAAAATCAGCCAAAGCACAGAGCTTGGAAATCAAAACCAGAAATCCCCACTTTTGCTGTAGTGTTTCAGGACCATCTTGACGGTCCATCATGACTTTAAATGAGGAAAAGCAAAAGCTCCTGGATCCCAGAGGTTCTGTGCATCACAGCAAAAGGAACTTCCAGCTAGAAAAACAGGAATAAAAATCCCTGTTCTATTAACTCCTCCATAAGGAGAAGGCAAACTCCCTTGTCATGGCAGAGCTGTCAGTGAAAAATCACACCCTGCTCTACAAAGGCCATTTCCTGCTGCTCCTCCCTTCCCAATCCAAGACCAAAACACCTTTTGCCTTCCCTCAGGTACTCTCCTGATTTTTGGAGGCATCATGTTGAACCTGGTGCCTTCCAGCATGTTGCTGTGGCCTGTCAGCACCCAAGTGCCTCGGGAATCTGCTGAAAATCAACACCTGGGATCTCCAGTGGCAAAGAAGGATCCAGAAACTCCTGGTGGATGTTTAGATGGAAGCACTCCCAGGGAATTACAGGAGGCTCCCACCACAGAGAGATCTGTGGTGCCCCGTGGCAGAGATGTCTCTGACCCAGCAAATCCATCTTTGGGAAGAGCCATCCTGGAGAGCTCAGAAACACCCACCAGGAGAAGCCACAAACCCCTTGCAGCCACCACGAAGGAACCTTCTCAGCCTCTCCTGGATTTCTCCCCACTGAAGGATCCCGTTTTCTTCATTTTCACCTGGTCTTTCCTGTTCAGCCACCTGGCCTATTTCGTGCCCTATTTCCACCTGGTGGCGAGGGCCAGGACGCTGGGGCTGAGCAGCAGGGACGGCTCCTACCTGATCGCTGTGGCCGGTAGGGAACACACCCTGAGCGCCCTGCTCACACAAAAACACCAAACTGTGCCCACAAACAGCTCTGTCCTGGGATGGAGCTCCTGGCAGAGCTTCAGCCCCCACCCCTTGGTGCAGCACAGGCACCTCCTGTGCCCCACCGGGGTGCTGGGTGACCCCACACCCTCCCCTGCTCCCAACAACCCCAAATTTCCACTCACAAGGTGCTGTCTCTGTCCTTCTGTCCCTGCTCTGCTTAAACCCACCAAAATCCAGATGTGCATCCAAAACCTTCTCCAGCTTAACCCAGGAGGGAGAAATCCAATATTGGGGGAAAATCCTCCCTCCCTCCCCCATTAATGTGGATCCAGGCATTTGGATGTGGCAAATCCACCTCCAAGTGGGGAAAAAAAACCGAGGCACGCTCCCCAAAAACCGACCCCAAGGCCGGTTCTAAGCCAGGATTAACACCATAACAAAGTGGCTCCAGCCTCAGTCAGCAGCAAATATTTTATTGTACAAAAATCGATTTTATTTCTGCAGTGCTGGGGAAGAGTCAGCAGGGAGGGGGTGCTGAGGTGTTGGCAGAGCCCAGGAATTCTGGGGACATTTGGAATTAGGAGTGGGAGGGACACGAGCTCACCTGAGAGCTCCTCGATCTTTGCTTCATAAAAATGGACCAAGAAATGTAAAAAACAACTCTCAAAACCCCAATTCTCCAAACCCCAACAACTAAAAGGCTGCTGAGCCTCTCAAAGCCCTGGCTTTCTGTACCCTTTTTAGAAAAATTAAAATCTCAGGCTCATTTTTCTTCACAATATTCAGCTTTGTCTCTTGAGAGAAGAGAAAATCTCTTTAGAGAAAATCTTTTAGCAAGTTCCTCTTCCCTGATTTAGGGCATTTCAGAGACCCTAAAGGGAATTTTTTTCCAAGAGCACTTTGGTGCCTTTGGGAAGAACAGCACAAGGGAAAAGGGGAAAAAAAAAAATCCATGGATTTTGCAGCAAAAAAATCACCTGGAATTTTTGGCATTTTAGCCCTTTGGGGTCATGTCCTCACAATGAACAGGGAAATTGGGATGTGACACAGGCAGTAACAGAGAAAATATGGAATAAAAGAAATATTATAAAAATCAGTAATAAATAATAAATATAGTAATTTAAAGTATATAAATAAACATATAAAAATAATGTATAAATTAATATAAAACAATACAAATAATTAATGTAATAAAATAAATATAAGAATAAATTATATTAGGGTTAATATAAATAATCAAGTGTAACAATAATAAATAATAATAATAATATAAATAATCTATTCTAAAACACTAAAATATGTAATAAATGTAAATATATAATAAAATATGTAAAATATTATTATATTAGAATATATATGTTCTATCATATTATACTATATAGTAAAAATATAAAACATTACAAATATGCAAATATTAAATTATAGTAATGTGAAGATAAGTATAATTTAACTATATGAAATACTGTTGATTATATAAAATAATACAGGTAATATAATAAAAAAATATACTATAATATAAAAGACTATAATAGAAATGATATAAAATAGAAAATACTGTAAGTATTAGTACATATACTGTAATATACTATAATAATCTAATATACTATCATAAACTATGCTATAATATACTTTAACTATATGAAATATGGTTAATTATATAAAATAATATGGATATTATAAAAATATACTATAATATACTATAATAACCTAATCTAATCTAATATATAATAGACTATAATAAAAATAATATAAAACAATATGAATAATATCAAATATAAAATACTGTATCAATACATATACTACAAATAATAAAAATAACAATATAAAATACTACAAAATACAGCTAGATTTATAAAATCCAATATATTTATTTATATATTTATATATTATATGCTCATATATTTATATTTTATATATTATATATTCTATTTATTTATACATTTATATATTATATACTTATATATTTATATATTCCATTTATATTTCTATACTTGTATACTTCTATATTCTATTTCTATGTAACATATTCTATACTGAATTATATCTTATATCCTATCTTATATCTTATGTACTATCTTATATCTTATATACTATATTTGATATATGATATGTGATATATATGGTACATGATATATGATACATCATACATTATTTATATTTATATTCATATCCATATCCAATTTCTATTTCTATTTATTTATATTTGTATTTATATCTATATTCATATCCATATTTAATTTATATTTATATCCATATCCGTATCCATACCCATATTTAATTTATATTTATATTTATATTTATATTTATATTTATATTTATATTTATATTTATATTTATATTTATATTTATATTCATATTCATATTTATATTTATATCTATATCCATACTTAATTTATATTTATATATATATAAATTTATATATTTATATTTATATCCATATCCATATTTGTTTTATATTTTTATATATTGATATTGATAATTTATATTTATATCCATACTCAATTCATATTTATATATATTTAAATTTATATTGATATTTTTAATTTATATTTATATCCATATCCATATCCATATTTAATTTATATTTTTAGATATATATTTATGTTGATATTGCTATTTAGCAATAATATATCAGACGGTGCAGAAGTAGCAGAACATTCCCGAGGCTGCTGTTCCCGCAGGGATCACGGAGATGCTGAGTCAGCTGTTCTCGGGCTGGCTGGCTGACCACGACTGGACCCGGAAATATCATTTCCATGTCACCTACCTGCTGCTCTGCGGGGCCACCAACCTGCTGGGGCCGCTGGCCACCAGCCTGCCGCTGCTGCTGGCCTACAGCGTGGCCTTGGCCACCTTCTGTGGAGCCTTCATGGCCCTGGTGCTGCCCGTGCTGGTGAGTGCCGGGGGCCGGGCAGGGAACGCGGGCTCAGGAACGCACACAGAGCCTGCAGGGCAGCCCGGACACGGAGCCCCTGTGCTCCCGGCCAGGACACACTGCTGGCAATGCTCACCTGGACAGGTGCAGGCTCCGGGGAGAGCCCAGAGACCCTGGAATGGCTGAAAGGGGGGCCTGGACAGGCACTGGGGACAAGGGGTGGAGGGACAGGACACAGGGAATGGCTTCCAGTGCCAGAGGACAGGGATGGGTGGGATATTGGGAAGGAATTGCAGGGTTAGATGAGATTTTGGGAAGGAATTGCAGGGATGGATGGGATATTGGGAAGGAATTGCAGGGTTAGATGAGATTTTGGGAAGGAATTGCAGGGATGGATGGGATATTGGGAAGGAATTGCAGAGTTAGATGAGATTTTGGGAAGGAATTACAGGGTTAGATGGGATATTGGGAAGGAATTGCATGGATTGCATGGACGGGAATTTGGGAAGGAATTAGAGTTAGATGGGATATTGGGAAGGAATTGCAGGGATGGGTGGGATATTGAATCACAAGAATCACAGAATCACTGGGTTGGAAGAGACCTTCAGGACCATCGAGTCCAAACCTGTTTCCTGACACCTCAACTAACCCATGGCACCAAGTGCCACATCCAGGCTTTTTTTGAACACATCCAGGGATGGTGACTCCACCACCCCTCTGGGCAGACCATTCCAGTACTTGATCACTCTTTCTGTGAAAAACTTTTTCCTAATATCTAACCTATATTTCACTTGATGCAGCTTAAGACTGTGACCTCTTGTTCTGGGAAGGAATTGCATGGATGGATGGGATATTGGAAGGAATTGCATGGTTAGATGAGATTTTGGGAAGGAATTGCAGGATTAGATGAGATTTTGAGAATTAATAGTTCCCTGGGAGGGTGGCCTTGGCTCTGCCTGCCCTGGGGGCACTGAGGATGCTCTGTGCATCCAAATCCCATCCCAGACTGCTCCAAACTGGACACGGCTGCACCCACACGTGTCTGAGCTGGAGGGTGCTCTGAACACAGGGCCATAGTGTGATAGTGGGGAGAAACTGGGAATTGGGCAGGAATTGTTCCCTGTGAGCCCTGGCACAGGGTGCCCAGAGCAGCTGTGGCTGCCCCTGGATCCCTGGCAGTGTCCCAGGCCAGGTTGGACAGGGCTTGGAGCAGCCTGGGACAGTGGGAGGTGTCCCTGCCCATGGGCTTGAGGTCCCTTCCAACCCAGCCCATTCCAGGATTCTCTGATCCAGGTAGGGAGGCACCATTATAATTTGGCATTTCTTTCTGGAAGGCATTCAGAATTTACAGCTCCTTCCTCAAAGTCTGGGCAGCTGGAAGGCAGAAAAGCATCTCCCATAGCAGTGATTTCCACCCCTGCCTTAAGGAGGCAAACACATTCCAGGCTGGATCAGACCTACAGGGGCAAAGTCCTTCCAAAGCTGCAGCTGAAAAGGAAATTCCCCAGAAAAAGAATCAAATCATCTCTCTTGTGCTTAATAATTAAAAAAAATCAATTAATCTCTTGTGCATAGGCATTCCTATGAACTCATTCACTAATTATCCATTTTGGTTTCCAAACAGGTGGATCTGGTGGGTGTGGAAAAGCTCCACAGCTACCTGGGGTTTGCTGCCTTCTTTGCAGGGATAGCAGCCATGGGAGGACCCCCTCTAGCAGGTAAGTGATGTTATATAAAACACACACTCACCCCAGAAATCCAGGGATAAAACACTGCTGGTTCACTCTCCTACAGGGACCATCCCAGGATGGGGTTTCTGTTCAAACAGAGAGGAAAAAAATCCTATTTCAGAAAGGTATTTTTATAGACAGGAAACATTTTGCTTGGGAATTTGCAAAATCCAGCCAGCAGCTTGGAAAATGCTGCCTGGAATATCTGGAAAATGCAGGGAAGCCCCACGTGCACGGTTCAGCCTTGACCACAGCAGGACAATGAGCACATCATCATGGGTTTTACTCCCAATGGTGATAAAATAACACTGAACTTGGACTGGAGGGGAAGCAAGGAGAGGAAGGGAAAGCAAGGGCAGGCTCAGCAACATTCCCACCAGGCAGAGGCACTGGAACATCAGGAGAAGCCTCAGTAATCTCTTGTTTTGACAGAGATTACACAGCTCAGCCACCAGAGCTCTGGGCCCAGAGATAAGGAGCATGAAAAGCCTCTGCTCTTCTCCCTCTGCCAGGAAACCAAGGCAGCTGGGAGGATTTGGGAGATTTCAAGTGCTTAGAAATGAGAGTCCAGCCTCTGCTAAGGAGCAGGGGACTTGTTCTCCTCCAAACAGCTTGGCCAGGACAAAGCTTTTCCTTTCCTGCAGCCCAAAAAGCCAAGTGCCCCCAGGGCAGCAGGAAAGGGGGAGGATTCTGCCCCTGTGCCCTGCCCAGGTGAGACCTCACCTGCAGAGATGCCTCAGCCCTGCAGAACAACACCAGCAGGACGTGGAGCTGCTGGAGAGAGTCCAGAGGAGCCCATGGAGATGCTCCAAGGGCTGGAGCCCCTCTGCTCTGGAGCCAGGGAGAGCTGGGAATGTTCACCTGGAGAAGAATCCAGGGAGAGCTCAGAGCCCCTTCCAGGACATAAAGGGGCTCCAGGAGAGCTGGAGAGGGACTGGGGACAAGGGAGGGAGGAACAGGACACAGGGAATGGCTTCCAGTGCCAGAGGGCAGGGACTGATGGGATATTGGGAAGGAATTGTTCCCTGTGAGGGTGGGCAGGCCCTGGCACAGGGTGCCCAGAGCAGCTGTGGCTGCCCCTGGATCCCTGGCAGTGTCCCAGGCCAGGCTGGACAGGGCTTGGAGCAGCCTGGGACAGTGGAAGGTGTCCCTGCCCATGGCAGGGGTGGAACAGGAGGAGTTTTAGGGTCCTTTCCAATTCAAACCATCATTTTTTGTTCCCTGCACTCCAAATCAGCTGCCCCCAGCCTGCAGAGGCACTTGGCTCAAAGCTGCCAAGGATTCTGTAAATTCCAGCTCCGTGCAAGGTTTCAGCAATGCTGCTGTTCCACCAGCACAGGAAAAGATTTATATTCCTGATCAATATCCCTGGGCTGGTCATGCTCTGTCTGTGGATGCAATTTCAAGGAGCCAAAACATTTCATTGACAACGAGTTTCCCAGTGCCAGGGTGATGCACAGCCTGGATTGCAGATCTCTGCTGCTGCCACAAGGTGCACATTCAGCACAAAGCAATCCCTCAATCCCACCGAATCCCCTGACACAGAACATCCAGCAGGAGCTAAACACCTTTTATCCAACTGCTCATACTGCAGTTACATTTTCTCCACCTGCAATATATTTTCACTAATGGGGAGCTTTTTTGTTTTCTGCAGTGGGTTTGTAAAACAAGCAGGTTTTCTGCAGAAAGCTTTCCATAGAAATCAGGCTTAATGCAGGTGGGATTAAAAAAAGGCCAAATAAAACCAAGAAGCAAAAGACTTCCTGATCCATCTTGTTACAGGCAGAGCAAGATGGAAACAATCCAGAGCTCAGGATCCAGGTTTGGGATCCAAGATTAATTCTGTAATTTTCTCTTCCAATGCAGTTTTAAGTGTGAAAACTGAGTGAGACCAAAAACTCCTGAACAAGTGTCCAAAACCATCTGCTCCTTGCAGAATGCAGCATTTAAATGCCCTGTGAGACCCTGGGATTTTGGGTGCTTTCATGTCCCAAAACCCTTGAGTTTAGAATTACAATTTTATCAACCTCAAGTGCTTTCATGCAGTGGAAATAATGATGATGGATAATGAGAACTGCAAAGGTTAAAACTGCCTAATTTGCATATTAGACCAAAGCCTAATGCAAGGAAGGAAAAGGTGACTTACCTGTAAATGTGTTCAGCTGAAAGCCCTGGAATCCAGGGGCAGCTGGCAGGACCCAAAGGGAAAGTTTGGAGTTTCCTTCACAGCTCCCCAGCCACTGACACCTCTGGATGCTGCCATGCTGAAAAAACCCAACCCAAACCAGAACAAACATTATTTTGGCAGCCACGAGCCAGCTGAGGAGAGAAGGGCACAGTTTATTCCCACAAGCAGTACAAATCACTGACTCAAAGTGCAAAAGAGCTGAACTAAAGCATGTAATGCAAATTCTACAAGAGATTCCAGCCCCCAGAGCATGAACTCCAGTCCCAGGAAATTTGGGTGGTGAAAGGGAAGAGGATGGAGTCACCCAAAAGCTCTGCTGGCACACCTATTCAGATGTTTTTTAAATTTTACCTTCACCTTCCCACTGAATTTTGCTCCTCAGGGCATCAGGAATAAATAAAACTTCTGATTAAAGATCAGCAGACAGCCTGAGCCAGCTGGGAGCACCAGCAGTGCTGGGAATGTTTAGTTTGGATTACATTGGTGCCTGGGATTTACCAGCATTCCTTTCAAAACTGCTGCTTTGCTGGGGTTTGGACACCACAAGCTCCTAGCTCAGCTTTCTGCAGCAGCAGTGATTATTGTTTTGGAAAAGAATTGGGGGCACAGAGACTGGAATTGCTTCAAAAGGTTGGGCTGTGATGGAAGTTGATGGCTGTGCTGCCACTGAGGCAATGCTGGTAAATCCCACTGCACCTAAATCCCATTCAGCACCAAAAAAACCCCAGGAAAATGTAAAAAAAAAATAAAAAATTAACCAATACCCAGAAGGATATTTTAAGAATAACTGCAATAAATCAGAGCTCAACTGGAGCACTCTGTCCTGTTCCTCTCACAAATAACTACGTCAGCATCCCCTCTCCTCTCCAAATCCCTTCGAGATTTTGAGACTTCCAGGCAGCAAAAGCAGATCCCAGCCCTGGGAATGAGGCACTCCACAAGAACCTCAGGGTCATGGGAGAGTCCCCAGGGCAGCACCATGGGATGGATGCTCCTGTCCAGCTGCAGCTCACGACATCCCTGAGGAACAAACACCCCCCGAGACAGCCATGAGCCAACAGAAACTGAAAGTGGGCAAAAGCAGCTTTTCCTGAGCTGCAGAAAACCTTCCTGCAGCTCTGGAAATCTACAGCAGGCAAATGTCAGTGCCTCCCTGCAGCACACATCCCACATTTTACCAGCACCCTCCAGGATCTCAGGGGCTGTACCGTGTCCCTTCCTGGGTTCAGGAATCCCAGGTTTGGGCCAGATGTGCTGTTGGTGTAAATCAAGGGAGCCCGTGGATGTCTGGATTCCATTCATGTCTCCAGAGGAATTGCATTGCACACCAGCAGCAGATCTGGCTCGGCTGCTGCCCCACACCCACCCATCCCACTCCACATTTGGGACTGGATTCGGGGTTTTATGTGCAGCATCATCTCCCACTTTGCAGATTTTCAATTCAAAGTGAGGAATTCCCCACTTTTCAAAGGACTGCCCAGACCCAAGATTTTCCAGGACCAAACCCAACACTTGGAGGTCACTTTAAAAGGCGACCTGCATCCTCCAGACATTCCTGAGGCTCCATGGAATTCAGCTTTTCCTTTTAAGTCCTCCCAGAGCTACTTTTATCAAGTTCACCTCCAGCTCCTGGCCTGGGCTCTCTCCTATTAGACAAGGTCTGCTCACAAGAAGGCAAGGCTGGAGAACAGGGGGTTTGCAGCCCAGATGTTGTAAATCCCAGCACGTGCAAGTCACCCCATCAATCCAATGGGATCTTCCATCAGCCACTTTTGGCCCACTCATTTAAACAGGAAAAGAAAAAAAATCAGGGATTAAATTCAAGTAAATTAAACACCACGTCCACTAGGAGGATCAAAACTGGCTCTGGGCAAAACAACCCACATGTCATTTCCTAACAGGAAATGCTGCCCAGGAAGAGTTAAAATAATTTAAGGAAAATATCTGAGCAATTCTTAGATGAGAACACACATCCTTTGCCTCCCGCCCACCTCCCCCAAATGTTGTTTTTTTTTTTTTTTTCACTGAGAAAAATCCCACAGCTTTAATAACAACCTTCTCTCCTGCAGGGTGGCTCTATGACTACACCCAGACCTACGCCTGCTCCTTTCTCTTTGCTGGAGCCTGTGCTCTCATCTCACCTATTTCCTTCTTCTTCGAGCCTTCAGCCCAAAAATGGAAGCTAAAAAAAGCCAATTTGAACAAGAGCCCCGGGTCTGGCTGAAGTTTTAAAGGCTGGGCTTTGATTGCATCTATGCTGGGAAAGCCACTGCCTGTACTGGGAAGCATCAACAGCAGCAACACTGGAAACTGGGATTTTTGGCTGCCACGCTCGGTCTGTATACCTGGATATTTCTCCTGATTAAAGCCATCTGAGAAATGCACAGTGTGAGGTGTGACTCGATGGGAAAACTGCAGGCCTGGCTTTCACTGTGCCTCTGCTCCTGAGCTGGGCTTTTCTGCCTCTCACGTTTAATCCTCAGCTCTGTCCTTCCCAAGCAGAGCTGACTCACTCACCTCGTGGCATGAGCAGCTCCAGGTGCCAGAGCACAGCAGAGATTTCAGCTCATTCCATTCACACACACACAGCTGGCCCTGGGGACATCAGGGTGACACCTCTATGAGGATCAGCTGCTCCAGGAGCCCCTCTCTCTGTGGCAAGGATGCTGCACTGGGGCCATTCCACCTCCCAGGCACAGTTATTGGCACAGCACAGAGGACCTGGAGGCAAAACCAGTTTTAATTAAAGCCAGAAGCACGACACAGCAAAGTCAGAGACCAAAGCCCTCCCTCCTCAGCCTCCTCTGCCCTTCCCAGCTTCCCAACCACCCAGGGATTCCACAACACACAAAGGCAGCTCCAGTGCTGAGCCTGCACTCAACCACATCTCACAGATTGCATTTGGATGGGTAAGACTAATTAATTCATTTATTTAGTTGGGTAAGACACAACACAGCACCTCTGACTTTCTTTCCAGTAGTGAAGATGCAATGTTTTGCATTATCACCACGTATTTGAAATTATTATGTCAACCTGGGATATTCATTCCAGCCAATGCAATTATCCTTCTTTTTACCTTTTCCTTTTTTTAATTATTAAGGAGATTTGATTATCCTATTTTTTTTCTCACCTCTTTTATTCCTCATCCCTTTTTTAAATAGTAAGGCAGCAAGAGAGTTGTTTCCCCTATAGAAACAATCCTTTAAACTGTGAAATGGGTTATTTCAAGCCCAAAATGAGGTGGTCTGTATTTAATAAAAAGCTACAGAATAACAGTTTCAAGGAGCTCCAACAGTGTCACAGGTAAGAAAGTTCCTCCATAGCTGATGGGCCAAATCCAGCAGTTACACAATTATACAGTGCCAAAGAAACTGTGCTTAAATGAGGGAAAAAAGACAGGGAATGGGGAATATCAGTGCTACATAAGAGTTCATTTTCCACATGCTGTTTGACAGCTTCTCCCAGGAATGTGCAGGCAGCAAGTGCTTTGGGAATGGTCCTGTCACACTGTAACCATCATCCCTTTACAGCCTCAGCATCCAGCACTGTGTGATTAGGATGGAGCAGTTAATGTCTGCCTCCAGGACAGGATCCCAAGGGGCACGTGTTCCAAGACACCAGGATTTCTGGATGATTATTTCTGGATAAAATGATTATTTCTGGCTAAGATTATTATTCCTGACGTGTTTAAGGCACTGGGAGTTGAACAGGTACCATCCTCAGCCAATCCTGCACTGAGGCCTCAGCCAAGCCCTTCTGCAGCAGGGAGAAAGCTTTCTTTTCAAAAATTGGAGTTTTCACCTCTTGAAACAATAAAATTCCTTGCTCTCACTCTCACCAAATCAAACAGTGCCAGCAGCTTTGGTTTGCTGCTCTAACAGGAATTATGTGGGAGCCTTGTTTCAGGTTTTCCAGTCCTAAAGCTTTAACCCTCATTTATTCTGCATCTCCCTGAGAGCAGCTGTGCTTTTGGCTTTAACAGAGCAGGACCAAAGCAAAGGAAGAGCCACCCCACAGCTCCTCACCCTGCTGCTCCCACTCTGCACAATTCCAGCAGCTCTCCCTGTGCTCTGCTCTCTCCCTGTAAATGAAGCCTCTGCTCAACACGAGCCCTGTGATATTTTCACCTCTTCTGCCACCAAGAAACAACTTGGCAGGATGTGGTGTCCACACCTCCCATCCCATCTGCTCCATCAAAGCTCCCCTCCAAACCTCCAGGATCTTAAGGAGAGTCCTGCCCTGTCTCTCCATCAGAGCAATGTCACCAATTCCTCACCCTTATTTAGCAAAATGGGAGTGCTTGTCCTCCCCTCTTTCCTTCTGCAGAGGAGCAAAGGGCTCAGGAGCTCCCATTTCCCACACCCCAGCCCATGGATGGGCACCACCAAAATAATCCTGCACAGGCAAAGCACCTTTCTCCAGCCACAATTACCTCTTGTCTATCCAAAATTGTTGAGGAAACCAATGCCCACAGTGAGAAACTCCTCCCAGGAGCCCTGCACCATCCTGCCAGTGGGCTGGGAGGGGGGTGAAGAGTCTTCAAACCTTTGTCTTCCCACTGAGCAGGCCCAGGGTAACTTCTGATGGTCAAACACTTCTCTGCTCACACCTCGTGCTGGGAAGGAAGCACAGAACAGATGGTTCAGTTCCCCTGCAAACCAAAGGCATTTATTCACTGCAGCATACAACACAAGAGACAAAGCAGCAGTGGGCAGCATGGGAACATCTGCCTCCAGGAAGGTTTTCCCATCCCACTGATCCCATCCTGCAAATCACTTCCTAAAGCTGGTTTTGCACAGTTAGAACACGACAGGGTGTGTGGAGAAATGCAAGACAGGGGTTGCTGGGACACAAATGAGGTTAAAAGCTGCAATCTGAGGTGGATTAGAAAATCCCTTTTGTCCCTGCTGTCTTCACAGAATCTTTAAGGTGGAAAAGCTCTCCTGGATTGCTGAGTCCAACCTGTGCCTGATCCCCACCTTGTCCCCAGCCCAGAGCACTGAGTGCCACATCCCTGGATTCCCATCCAGGGATGGGCACTCCAAAGCTCCCTGGGCAGCCCCTGCCAAGCCCTGACCACCCTTTCCATGCAGAAATTATTCCTGAAAATTTTTCCCTTACTCAAAGGAAATTCTTCCCTTACTCATCTGTGGTAGAGAAAATCAGCAGCAATGGCTAAAACTGATCCTCAGCATGAAAAATGCTTTGTTGAAGGGCAGGGCCCTCCCATGCATCCCTCCTGGTCCTGGGAAGGCAGTGGAGAACCAGATCCCTCCTGCCTTCCAACCCTCGTGCTCCCCACAGGCAGCATCTCCACACTTTGCACGGGAAAGAAATCACCAGCAGCCTCCTGGATGTCTCCAAGAGGAGAACTGCACTCACAATAAATCAAACCCCTTGGAAAACCAGTGCCAATCTCAGCACTGTGCCCTGTGCTGGGGGAACATTTTCCTGCCCAAGCTCACCCTCTGCACGTGGGATAATATTCCATGGCCAGCTGGATCTTGATGGAAAATCACATTTGGAGGCACTTTAACCAGGATTCACTGGTTTAAAAACCTTCTAAAATTCATGGTGCAGAGAAACCAAACACTAACGAATTCTCCAAAGATTCAGTGAGCTGCAGGGAACCAGAGCTGGCTGGAAGGATTCCAAGTGACCAAAGGAACCCAAAACACAACCTCCAATTTCCACTGTACCCCAACAAAGACCTGGTGCAACACCTGAGTCCCTCCGGAAAAAAAAAAACAAAACAACTTCATTTAGATAATCAGTTTTCTGAGCACCAACATTCAGAGGACTGACACCCTGAATCCTGATTAATTTTAGCACCACAGGATTAAGAAAGGAAGAAGAAAACATGGAAGTGGCTTCTCCAACAAGGCACGGCAGGTAAGGATCACTGCAGGGTTTGTGCCATGCCAACAGCTGGGCTGCAGGGTGCCACCCTTCCCGCGAAGGAAACACTTTTCCATTGTCAGCCAGTGATTTATTCCCAGGTGAAATCCTGAAGGAGGAGCCTGGGCAGCCTCCAGGACCTGCTCCCAGTGCCTGCCAGGATTGATTTATGGGGTGGGCACCTGCTGGGTCTTAAACTCACTTCAAATGATGTTCCACATGCCAGGATAAAAAGCTGCTAAGCCTCGGCTCGGGTCTATCAAAGCTACAGAAGTCAGTGCAATCTGAGATCACATCAGGAAGCACACTGCACCCCCCATTCCCACTGGAATTATTTTATATTATTAATTTATACAGTCATTGTACACCCCTGAGTGTCCTGGCTACCAGCTGCAGGTTTCCCTTGTTCTGTATTCTGGGTCATTGAAAGGCAGGGTAGAGCTCCTAGAACATGCATTTAGGCATTGCACAGTACACAAAATAAACCTCTCCCTGTCCAGGCTCTGCCCTTGATAAAAAACATAATCTACTAAAAACCAAGGCTGTGACTGTCCCAGCACTCCTCAGATGCCAACAGCAAACAAACCCAGGCACTGGACACAGAGGAAGTTGATCCTGACGTTTATCATATAATAAGGAACAATCTTTATCTCACAATGAAATCCTCTCCAAGGGCTGGGCTGGGATTATTTCTTATTGTATTTATTGGTTGTTTCTCCAACGTGCCTGAGCTCTGGGTTTGCATGGAGAGCTGTCTGGGAATCCCACACCTCCTCAGGGGGCTGAGACCGGGGTGAGGGGCAGGAACTCTGGGTTTAACCCAATCCCTTGGACCTTTCCAGGGGGTGTCTGAACCCAATCCCACTGCAAAGCTGCTGGTCTGCACACTCATTAACCACAGGGGGGGAAAATCTCCATAATTCCCATTTTAAAGAGGAACAAGAGGCTTTTTCACAACTGTGGCAGCACAAAACACAGCCCAGGCAAGGTTCTTCAGCTGCCAGCACTGCCGAGGCTCCTGTGTTTACCTTAAGCCACATGAAGAAAGCCAAAAGCAATTTTAAATAGCTGGGTAAGGATATGACAACAGGGCCTTCCAGCTACAGGAAACGTGGCTGTTCTTCCCTCACCCTGTCTGGCAGATACCCTGAGGTCTGGGCTGTTTACTTGCCCTCATACACTGATAACAGGAACAGTTTTTTTGGTGCTGGCTTCCCCCCAGCCTGGAAGATATCCTGCAGTCGTGTTTATTAGGCTGCAATTCACCAGAGCCTGAATTTAAAAGTTTCACTTGTGAGGAGCTGAAGGCCTTCATAGGAGGTGGGAGTTGTTTGGAAAATAAGAATGGAAATATTTAAAGATACCATAATGGTTTTCACTGAAGTACATGTGAATTTATCAGCAACTCTAATGAACAAAAATTAAAGCAGATGTTTGAAAACCTAGGAGTTTTAATTTTAGCTGAGATCCTCATGGGAAAACTTTCCAGCCTGCAGAAACCACAAAGGGGATGGGAGCTCTTGCTCATGGCCATGGACAATTCCAGAAGTAATTCATGGGTCAAAGTCTCTTTTCCAAAGCAGACTTTGCCTCTGAAGCCACCACCAAGCTTTGCAAAACTTTCCCCTACAGATATCCCTCACGTGGGCAAGATAGAGCCAGGATTGTGCTCTGGAAGAAAGAGGCAAAGGGTGTCTTTACAACACCCCAGGGACAAAGAGAACTCCAATAAACTGAGCTCCAGCCCCTCTAGCATTTGCACAAGCTGGAAAGGAGCCACAGCCACCCAGGCTGACACAGGATGGACACAGGGATGGGAGTCTGGGACTGGGCTCTCCCAGCCTCAAGCTGCTCTTGGGGTGCAGCTCTGAGTGCCAGAGGATCAGCAAAGGCACTCTCAGATACCTGAGAGCTCAGCACTTGCTGTGCCTTAGTGCCAGAGGGGCAAGCTGGGCTGGCAGAGCTGAAACCAAAGGTCTCAGAGTCACAGAACCCTGGAATGGTTTGGGTTGGAAGGAACCTTAAAGCTCATCTTGATCCTCTCCTTGCCATGGGCAGGGACACTTTCCCCTGTCCCAGGCTGCTCCAAGCCCCATCCAGCCTGGCCCTGGGCACTGCCAGGGATGGAACAGCCACAGCTGCTCTGGGCACCCTGTGCCAGGGCCTGCCCACCCCCACAAGGAAGGATTTCTTCCAATATCAAATCCCAATTTCTCCTTTTCAGTTGAATCTACTCCCCTTTGTCCTGCTTCTGACCAGAAGTCCCTGCTGTATTCTGTTCACACTCTTTGTCTTCACCCACCCCAGAGGAACAGCATGAGAAACATCAACATCCCCTTTTCTCACCACGTGCTCCCCACAAACCTCAACAACAGCAGCTCTGCTGGTTCAGGACCTCATCCTGCCCTGAACCTCTGCCCGGGTCAGAGCTGGAGCAGCCCAGGCTGGCAACAAGCAAAGCAATCCCTTGGCCAAGGGGGCTGCAAACACCTCCATGGCCCGAAGGACATCTCTCCTCCAAGGGCTTAACAAGAACCCCAGGAGACCTGGCTGGCTGCCCTTGACTCAAACCCTTGTGCACACACGTGTGTCCTCAGCCATATGTCAAATGTGCAACTGTACAGCCTGGAAATGCAGCACACGCATCTGAAAGCAGAGCCTGGCTGGAGGATCCGAGTGCTTGCCTGCACAAAGGGCAGAAACGCCAGGGCAAGCTGCCAGCTCGGGGCTGGGTCAAGTGGTGTGCATTGCTAAAGCCTGGCCTGACCTATCACTGATCTGGGGACAGGAAATACTGAAGAGAGCTAAAAATCTCCAGCCCCATCTTCGGCTGCAATTGCAGAACCAGGAACGAAGGTGAAGGCGGGCAGATAAGGAGATGAAGTAGCTGTGACCCACAATTAATCTCCAGCTCATCCACTCGTGGGGCTGAGCACATCCCACCCCCACGCTGGGACAGCACACACGAGCTCAAACCCAACCTGGGCACAGGAGCTGGGCTGGGAGGTGGCAACTCATTAATGCACAGCAACAGCAGCGTGTGTGACAGCATCCACACCCCCAACATTTAATTAATACATCCCTGGAGCGGCACAGAAAGGGGGAAAAACACCAGGCAACCTTTGTGCCACTGTCCACGTTCTCTGCTCCTGCTACAGGCACCTCCAGCAGCACAAACAGGGTTTTGGACAAACAGGACCAGCAGCAGGAGGCTCCTGTCAAACCCATCAGAGCAGTGCAGCTGAGCCGGTCCCCCAGAGCTCACTGTGCCTTAGGACTTTACCTCACCCGGCTCTCAAGGCAGCTCTAATTACACTCAGGCACAGGGCTCCGAGCCAAGAACCGCAGGAGACACAACGGGAATCACAAAGCCATCAGCCCGGGAGCCTTCCCAGTGCTCTGCCTGTTTGACCAAACCCTTTCTGGTCTTTGCCCCAGACCTCGGGACACGAGGTGGGACCATTTGCTCCCTCCGAGAGCATTTTCCATCTCATAGTAAACCAGCAGCATGAGGCCAACACAAGCTTGTTATTGGCCAAGAGCAGAATCTGGGCCATCTGATGTTTTAAACTTATTAATTCAGCTGCAGCTGGTAAAAGCACAGTTCTAAAAAAATGTGTGAATTCAAATAACCGGCTCCCATCTAATCCACTCGCATCGCTCTCTGCTGCAGTGCAGTTAATTAAATGGTTCTCGTTATAAATCCACTTTCCCCAGAAGTCTCATTAGCCAAATTAATATGATGCATATAGAGCACTTAACCCTTCCAAGAGACTGGTTTTAACAATAGACTGGCTCTACCTGGCCACTGGAACATCCCTCTAAGCCCTTCAGAAGGCAGAGGGGCAGACCCAGCACCCCAAAAACAACTCGCTAGTGCCAAGCGACCGTAGGAGAACCATCCCACAGCACATCCCACGACACCTCCGAGCCTCTGCAATAAATGCATGATGTAAAGGAGACAGGGAACCATCTCCCAATGAAAAAGACACTTAAATCTGACTCAGAGAGGCAGAACTCTCCAGGAACAGCCACTGACACTTCGAAGCACACCCAAAAGGTGGGGTAGTGCCCAAGCCCTGACACAACCAGCTGGATACCTGAGCAGGTGACCAGCTAGCCAAAAACATCCCCTTTTTGGGGTGCACTAACAGATCACCCATCTCTGTCAGCATCGACCTCCCAGCCCAGGCAAAGGGGCTGGAACACATCTCCCATTACTGCTGCCAGCCCCAGACCTATTGTACAACACTTCAAAGGAGATTCAGTGGTTGTATCTCAACAGCACAAGAAACACACTGCAAAAAGTAGGAATTTGAACTACAAACACCAACTTCCAGAAGAAAAGGCATCTCCTGAGTGTCCCCTCTCCAATTCCCTTCCCTCATAACCAGCAATTGCTCCTATTTACAACAAAAAACTTCATTTAAATTATTACACCAGCATCCCACAAACACAGACACTTCGCCAAATCATTGGCTTGGCTTTCCTTATCAACACATACAAAATATAAACACCACTCTGGGTTAAAGCAGTGTTAATTCAAGCAGTTCATGAAGTCAGAATAACAGCTCCAGCTTGCCAAGCTGAGAACCCATAGCTTTATGTGCACTGCCCTGTTTGTTAACGGGAGCCCCCAATAAACAGGGAAGCACATCCAAGACTTGGCTCCTTCACTCCCGAGCGGGTGGAGCAGCACGGTGGCTGAAGAAAACACAATTAGTAAGCATCGATAAACTGGAGAATCAAGACAACAAAAGGCGAACAACAATCTTCTTTTACATTACAACTCAGTCCAACCTCTTCCAGCCCCTTACCTGTTTTAGGGATTTACACAGCGCTTTGCCCCGGGAACAGACACCTTGCAGAGCACAACCACAGCATCCGTCGGCTGAGAGGCATCTGCAGCCTAGCAAAGATCCTGCCCGGCTGCAGGGGGTTTATCCATGGAGGTTAAAGTATGTCAAGGCAAACAGGGCAAGCTGCCCTTCAAGGTGTCTTCATGGCACGTCACAAGAATTCTACCACGAGCACAACGACGATGCAGCGGCGGCGGCTTCCTCTCGACGGCCGAAGTCTCCTGCAGCAAACACGGAGTTGTGCTCCTTTGGAACAGCCTTCCAAAGCTCAGGAGCCCCCGGGACAGGAGAACTACAGCACACGAGGTTTCCAGGCCGCCTCCGGCTTCTCCTCTCCCCATGTGCACTAGAGCGGGAGCGCGCGGCGCGGCCGGGACGCGAGCAGGGCACATGCACATCCGAGGCGTGTGGAACCACTGGCTTCAAAACCGGTCAAAATAAGGCACTGAGACACCACGCAAAGGTTTTTAAATTACTGCCTCCAGCTCTCAGGAACTCTTCATCCATTCAGCACTAAACCCACAACTGCTGAAAAGCCCCTGGAGATGGAGGAGCGCCTCGCGTACGGCAGGAAAGGCTTTATTAACAGCATTTAAACACTTTTAAGGACTCATTTCTCTTTTTCTTTTGGCAATTTTGGTGCAAAAGGTTTTACGTGCACGATTCAAAGCAATTTCAAAACTTTTTTTCTTCAAAATTAAAAAAAAAAACCAAGAATCAAAACTAAAGGCAAACATGTTGGGTGAACAAAATAAATCAGAAACTTAAAATTCAGTAACTCCAGCTCTTCCAACCAGCGAAGCCCCAGATCGGGGTGGTGCTTCCCTGCTTCTTGCAGCACCGCTGCCCCGTCCCGCTGAGGAGAAACGCAGCAAGTGACCCCTTTTTCACTGCAAACACGGGGGCCACAGCAAGGCCATCAGACACAATTCTTCTGACTGGTACCACAGGTCGATCAACGCGAAAAGTGTCGGTGCTCTCCCTGCTTCTTGCTCAAGACCCACAACTATCAGCTCAATTGGGCAGCAGCAGCAGGAACCCCTCCGCTGCCAACACAGGGGCCAAACGTTTGTCGTCAATTCACTTCCAGGCAGAAAAACCATTTTCCTCAAAAGAAACAATTTATTTAGAATGAAACAAAATCAGCTCAACTGTGAGCGCATGTTTGAGTGACAGCTACTTTTAAGCTGTGTGAGCCATAAAAAGGGTATTCCTTTACTTTTCCAGCAATCTTGTGTACACAGCACAAAGCAAAGAGGTCATTTTTTTTTTCCACTTAAAACACGGGCATTGGCATCACAATAGCAGATACACAACTTTTTTTTTTTTTTTTTAAAGCTGCCATTTTAGTAAAATGCACAAATACTAAACAGATAAGCTTTCTTCCACCAGGAGGCCCATGTAAATTCCACATAAGCCACAGCTTCTCTTCCCAAAGGTCCATTAGAGCTTGGTATTCCATGCGGTTGTCTTCTGCAGTCCACCAGATTTGCTTGCAGGAGGAAAAAAAACGTTATTTCAATACAAATGTGTACACCAGATTCGGGTTTTTCCCCTCCCTACATTATACAGATGAACATAAAGAGCTACGAGGCCTTTCTGAATATTCTACTTGGACTTCAAAAAGCACCAATACCACCCACAGGCATGAAACCTCGGAATGAAGTCGCCTTCTAGGGATAGATGCAAAACAAGTAGTGCAGGGCTTCTTTTTGGACCAGGATTAAACTAGGCTTACAGTACTGATGATTACTCAACTTGCAGTAACACTTGATGGGGCACATCGAAATCATTAACCAGGAGAAAAACCAACCTAATTCTTGCTAATTCGGTTGACTTTCCTCACTGGGTATTTCCTGAAGGCAACTTATCAACAAAACCATGAAATGTAGTGTTCCACAGCTCTTCTGCTCTCGTTTTGCTGTGCAGTTCTGACAGCAGACAATGCCAATATTAAAAGGTCAAATCAAAGACACACCCAATATCATTTCAAATTGTTACTATTCAAGTCATATCTCCTAGCCATCGTTTTCACACAATCGGAACTGCAGAAAGATGAATATTCAATGAACCATTCTCTGCACCACCCGGTCTGCTTTAAGCCTGATACAAAAATCACCTCATCGTTCAGTCTAGCAATCATTGGAATATCTGTCCTTCGGTGCTATAAAGAAATAAACAGGGGGACAAAGGGGAAAGAACCCCAAAAGCTCTAGAGCCACGTGGCTCGTTTCTTCCCCTCTGGGTACACAGCACTCCCCAGGAGCACTGCCCTCAACACTGCTTTGCTTAGAGCCAGGAACTACCATTTTCCAAGCCATTTTTCCCTGAGTCCTCAGAGTTTTTGAACTTGTCTTCACAATTTTGATTCACTCCTCCTCCCAATTAATACCTCAGGCCTTTCACCTCAGTTACCATCAACCAGAGGCTTCTCAAACCCACGCAAGAAATTAAAACTCGTTCTTCGTAAAACTTGGCTCTCCATAGAGACCAAAAAAGCTGTCACCAAAATATTCTATCTTTAACATCCTTGTAGGAAACAAAAGAGAGAGAGGGCAAGGTTTGTCTGCCTGGCAATAACGCCCTTTTCTCTCTGCGAGGCTGACAAGGATGTGCTGGTATTTGTGCCCCCAAAACCTCTGGATTGAGGATAACCTCGGTGTTCCTGTGGCAGCAGCTCGGCGGGAGCAAACAAAGCCACTGGCCAGAGGCCAAGGAAGTTGCACAAAGTTTCCAATTGAAAGAAATAAAACAAGAAACTAAAATCTCCGACAAAACTACGAGTCATTTGAGGTTCTTTCCCCAAAGCATAAAGCACAAGGATGAAATGATTCAGGAAAAGGACATCCTTTTTCCAGGCTAATTCAACACACTAATGAAATAGAAGAACATCAGCTGCACACCAGGTCGGGAGGGAATACTGAGCTCTCGCCAGAGCAGCGTAATGCCAGACACAAGGAGAGAGCCAACAACTGCTACATCTGCTCTGCTCTACACACAGTGGTATCACCCACAGGCTTCTAAACCTTCAGCCCTGGCCAAGCCGACTTCAGTGGACAGTTACTCCAATGGGGAACACCTCAGACCAAGGAGGAGAGCACAGCCTGCCCGGCTGCTCCGCCCGGGATGGCAGCACGGGAATTCAGCGCCGGCAAAAAAAAAAAAAATGCTGCCAAAGTTCTGCCACAAGAACGCTCAAAGGGTGCTCAAATCCTTGCTTACAAAACAGAGCAGCAACCACAAGTAAACCAGATTCAAAGAAGCAGGTGCTCCATTAAATAAGGAACCAGAAAACCTGGAGTCAAGCACAGCCTTGCCTGTTCCCTGCTGCCCTCCAGCACAGCACAATTTCACAGCCAGTGGCAGGTGGAACCACCGCGATTTTCCAAGGAAAAGTGGAAGTGCACCTAGCATGCTCTTCCCAAAAGGCCTCCCAAACCAAGCTGGCTTTGACAAGCTGTGCTGACCCCAAGTTTTATGGGTTTTTAAACAGGTGCCTGCTGCGGATCAGCGGAACAAACGCTGCTCTCAGTGACTTTAAACGTCCAACACAAACTTTAGTGCTTTTTTTCCCCCAGGTTTTGGGCAGATTCAAATTCCCAGCCGTTCAAGTCTCTTTCCTAGAAAACTCTTGCAAGCGATTTCCGTCAGATGAAATGAGAAAACTCCCTTTGAATGCAAGCAGCACTTGCAGCATTGATCACCTGCTGACACACAACAGGCACCTGCTCCAATTCAAACATTCTTTGCAGTAAGTGGTAAACATGCTGTATCTTAAACACAGTGATTTGCATTGCCGGTGTCATTCCCAAAAATTCTCGTTGGTAACAGTAAGCTGAACAGCTGAGTTCTGCCATCTCTTACATTCACATAGAAGGACAACCCAGAAATCCTGGATTTTACCCTCAAATTTAAGAGCATTCAATGAGGCTTTCACCTTTTCATTTTTAGAAAGAAAAGTAGCTATAAAAACAAAATCTGCGTTTAACAGATGCTACCACATTGGAATTCTCAGTTCACAACGATGTTTGGGATACTGGGTCCACTCATCCTGGGCAGATAAAGGAATCAAAGCCCTCTTAAACCACAGCCTTCTCTGACAAGTGGCTCAATAACAAAAATTTCTATTTTTGTGACAGAAACTCAAGCAAGTTCAGTTACACCCACAAAATACATTCAAGACATTTCCTCGTTCATCTCCTATTCACATCCTAATCCACACTTTGAATCTGATTTTTGCCATGCAAGTTGTAACAGAAATCAACTTGTGCCTGTATGGATTATCCAAGGAATCTATTGGAGCATGGACCAAGTGAGGCAGCGTTGCTTCTCCGTTGCCCAAATCCCTGAAAACATGGCTAAGTGCAAGATTACATTCTGGCTTTAAGTGCAAGATTACAATTTTGGGGCCTGTAAAGAGATACAGTGAGATTTACACTTCAGTTTAGAAGCTGCTGCAACATCCTTTTGGTTGTTAAACAGAGTATCATGGAATTAGATCCCATCAGGGACTGAGATCCCTTCTTCCCTCCTAAATGCCTGGATTACCAAAGGTGGCTGAGACAGCTGGAGAAAAGTGCCAAATGATTGGGGAAAAACAAGAAAAAATTAACCATGTTATTTGGAAAAAAAACCAGAACAACAACCTGCAAATTATTTCATCCTTGAATCACAAGAACAAGAGCTCAAACCTCAGCGTCTTGGAGTATTTTTACTATTTCTCCAAGATGCTGAAACCACTTTACTCCAGGTGCCCATGATAAACCTCATGTAATGCCCGCTGCACACTGTACCTGAAAAGTCCCTAGCAGACAGCAGTTCCTTGCTATTAACAAAGAGGTAAAATGTTAATGAGAACTTTTATGTAATTAAATTATCACAGAATGAAAAGCATCTCTGGAGAGAAGCACTTACTTGCTCAGTTTGCACTGTGGAACCAGACCCCACTGAACCTGCAACTCTTGGAAAACAAAACAAACAAACAAAAAAAAAAGGTAGTAAAACCAAAACCCCACAATAAAACTCGAGTTCTCCTTAAAGCACCTCCTTGTTTCCTGCACACCAGAGTGAGCACAAGACATTCCTGGTTTGCAACAAAGTCCTCAGCTCTTCACCAAACCTCACCACTGCTACAAACCCAAAGTGCACAAATGGGATACACTGGGAAATCAGGGAAATACACCTGTTAAAAAGCCCAGTTTCAGTGCATGCACCTGGGGGGCTGGATGAAAAAGGAACCCCTTTCCAAAAAGGAATTCAGTGTTCTGCTGTGTACCCGAGAGCAGCTGCTGCTCACCTGAAAAACGTCGACCTTGAGCCACGCGACTCAACGGGGAAAGCACTGCGGCTCCCGAGGGAAGGGATCCCCAAAGGGGCCTGAGGCTGACAGGGAATTTCAAGGACTCAAAAGAGGAGCTGACACCAGTCTGTTATTAAAGTGTGGTTTTCCATTTCCACTGAGTGCTTTAAATCTGGTCTGTTCGGTTTGGAGCTCTCTCAAGGACGAGCTCTTGGGACTTGCTTTAAAATACATGAAATGAAAAAAGGACATGAATCTAAATTAAGAAGATGGGAGTTTTTCTTTTCCCCCCTCCCCCCCCACCCCAGTTTTTCTTATTTTTCTATTTTCTGTAAATCAAAGCAGGCTGAGCCTCCTGCTGTCCCCACTGATAGGGAATTCTCAAAATATCCTATTCACGCTACTCCTAACCAACCTCTCTGGCTTCTACCTTTATAGAAAAATGTAATAACAGAAAATCGGCCCGGGAAAGTCACCTACAAACAAAGATCTATTTAAAATAATGACAGGGCTGGCTAAGGCTGTATCCCATAGCACCTGGCACACGCTGGAGGGGCTGCATGGAGGAGTAGGCAGGGTTGGGAACAGAACACGAGGGCCTTAGGACGCCCCACGGACAATGATCATGACCAGATAGTCGTCCTCTGATTTGGCCAACGCCTTGGCCGTGGAGTCCAGGAACTGCTGGGAGAAATCGCAGGGCGGAAAGGCGTGCAGGACCCCGCTGTTCTCCTTGTCTTTGTTCCCCCCCACAGGGAGGCTGATCACCCCAGCAGCCTGCTTTTGCTTTAGGTAGGACACCAGATTCCTGAGCGGCCTCTGCGTGGAGGTGGTGGCGGCCTCGGCGGCCGCGGTGCGGTTGTCGGAGGCGCCGGGCACGGCCAGAAGGATGGCGTATCCATTGGGACCCGCCACCTTGATGCGCCGGTTCACCTCGTCCAACTTGGGCTGGTCCAGACGGAGACGTTGGGTGATCTTGAGCTGAGCCACTTTCCCCCCCGTCGCTCCCTCCACGAGGAGGCTGCTGGCGACTCCGAGGTCCCCCTGGAGCAGGTGCATGTTGGACGGGAAGTTGCTGTTCTTCAGCAGCAGCATCCCCTGCCAAGCCAGGCACAGCTTGGGCGCTGCCCCGGCCTGCGCTGCTCCGTCCTGCTGCTGTTTCTGGGGAGGAGGTTTGAGCCGGGAGCCTCCGCCACCTCCCTCCGCCGCCCGCTCGTCCTTTTTGGCCGGACTTTTGCACTCCTGGGCGGCGGCAGTGGCGGCGCGGTGCTTGCGCTCCCGCTCTGCGGAATTCTTGCGGTCGCGCTTTTCGTTCTGCCCCCGCTCCAGGCTGCCCCGGCGGGACTCCCGGATGGGGGAAGGTCGCTCCAAGAGGAGCAAGCGGGATGAGCGCTCGGGGTCACTACTGTAACGCTCCCGGCCTCCCAGGAGCTCGGGGCTGCGGTCCGGGGGAGAGGTTGTGGCCAAGCAGTGGCGCTTTCGGGAGGAAGAGGAGCGCTCGCTGTCAGGGGAACGGTCCAAGTGCCGGCCTCCATCCTCCGCCAGTCTCCGTTTCCTAGGCTGATCCCTACTGCTACTGCCCAGCTCCCTCTCCCCGCGGTCCCGCTCCAAGGACCACCCATCCCGGCGGCGCTCCAGGCTTTCCAGTGGGTCATAGGCAGCTGCCCGGTTACTCCGGTCCCGCACAGGGGGCGGCGGGGGCACCCACTCTGTCTCGGGATAAAGGTCTCTGTCACGGTCTCTATAGAGCAACGGTGGCGTCCTGTCCCGGGCCCCCCGGAGAGGGTCAGGGGGGGCTCCCCGGTGAGCCCCAAAAGCAGCCGCCTCCGCCACAAGCTCGTAATGAGCCGGGGGTGGCAAGGGCAGGGGCTGCAGGTAGGGCTGCTGGTACCGATGCTCTGTGTCGGCAAAGTCTACACGGAGCCGGCGATCCGGCCCCCCCAGGGGGAACCCCCGCATGTGGGTGCAGGCTGCCTGCGCCGCGTCCAGGCTCTCGTACTGGATATAGGCCCAGGAATCCCCTTTGCGGTAATCGATCGTGCGGATGGTGCCAAACCGATCAAACTCCCTGGCCAGGGCAGCCAGGGGCACCCAGGGCCCCAGGCCGCCCACCCAGAGCCGGGTGGTCGGGGTGGCTTTCCCGTACCCGATCTTGATGGGGTTGCGCAGCAGCACCTTCCCTGACATGGCCAACTTGGCCCGGTGCGCCATGTCCAGATTCTCAAACTTAAGAAACCCATAGGTGCTGGTCTGCCCACGCCCCGGCCTCTTGATGTCCACCTCAGTGATGACCCCAAAACGGTCAAACGCTCGCCGCAAGTCCGACTCGCTCACGGTGATGTCCAGGTTGCCCAGGAACAGCGTGCGGTTGGCTCTCTGGTCATCCTCAGGGCTGATCTCCTCCTCACCGGCGGCTCCGGCACCTCCTCCTCCTCCACGGAACCCCCCGGCCGCCGCCACTCCGGCCACGCGCTCCAGCCCGTAGGCCGGCCGCACCCGCGCCTCGTAGAAGCTGCCGTAGTCCCGCTCCCTCTCCAGCTCCCTCGGCAGCGGCGGCGGGGGCGGGAGCCGGCCCAGGGCGAGCTGCTGCAGCCGGTAGTCCCGGTATCCCAAAGCTCCGCCGCTGCCCGCGGGGGACAGCGCCCGCTGTGCGGCCCCGGCCGGCGGGTGCCGCACGGCCGCCGCCACCGCCCCGACCGCCGCCGTGCCGTAGGGAGACTCCTTGTCCAGCAGCGCCGGGGAGCGGCTGCTGCGCCGGCGGCCGCTGCCTCCGCCGACATAGACGGCCTCGATCTTGAGCGGGCGGTCGTAGAGCACGAGGCGGCCGCGGGCGTGCTTGGCGGCGCGCGCGTCCTCGGGCCGGCGGAAGTTGACGAAGGCCACGCGCTCGTCGGCGGCGCCGGCGCCGGGCGGCAGCCGGCTGATCTTGACGCTCACGTCGCCGAAGCGCTTGAACTCGTGGAAAAGCCCGTCCTCCACCGCCTCGTCGCTCAGCGCCGAGCCCAGCTCGCTGATCTTCAGCGTCTTGTACTCGCCGCCGCCCGGCTCCGACGAGGAGGAGGAAGAGGAGGCGGCGGCGGCGGCCGCCCGCGATTCACCGCCGCGGCTGCTGCTGCTCCGCGACGCCTCCGCGCTTTTACCGCTGTAGCCGTGCCGGCTCCCGCCGCCCGCGGCCGCTGCCGAACCGGTCTCGTACTCGCGGCTGCCGGCGCGGCCGCCCTTGTCCGCGTGGGCGCCGCGCCGGCCGCTCCCGCTGTTGCTCTCGCCGGACGCCGCCGCCGCTTTCCCGCCGTTGGAGCCGCCGCCTCCGCCGGACGAGCCGCTCGGCTTCTTGCTGCCGCGCGAGGAGGAGGAGGAGGACGCCGAGTCCTCGCCGCCCCGGGAGCGCTTGGCCTTGGCGGGCGAGCGCTCCTTGCCCTTCATGGCGGCGGCGGCCGCGCTCCCGCCGGGCCTCCCCGACCGCCCGCTCACGCACCCGCCGCCATCTTGGGAGCCGCGCCGGCAGCGCGCACCGCCCCCCCCGCGCCCATTGGCTGCCCAGGGCGGTGCCCTCACCCATTGGCTGCCGCCGCGGGGGAGCTCCACCCACCGCCTGGCGTTGCGCGTTCCCATTGGCCTGCGGGACTGTCGGTCTGCCAGCTAGCCCCGTGCTCCCGCGGGGGGGGCGGGAATTGTGCTGTCGCGCGCCTCCCAGCCCCGCTCGCTCATTGGGCAGTTAGAAAGGGCGCGGCGATCTCATTGGACGGACCTACCTGTCAATCGTGGCAGTTCAACCATGGGAGGATTTTCGCTGCCCATTGGGCACTGGGCCGAACTTACCTCCGTTTTTTGATTGGCTCTCCTGCCTGCCAGTTACAATAATCGTTCTGCGGCCCCGCCTCGCCCTTTGCTATTGGCTGTCTCGCTTAGATGAGGGTTCCCATCGTACCTCTCAAAATCTCGCGAGTTGCTCTGTCTCCGCCCCCTTTCCTCATTGGTCACTAGTCAACCCGTCGCCCTGCTCTGATTGGCTGGTCCCTACGCCGCTCGCGAAGGAGAGCGCCCTGCCCCTCAACTCCACTCCTGGTTTATCATTGGGCGACAAAAGGTCCCCAGGCGTCTGATTGGGTACAGACGGGCAGAGTGCTGATTGGCTAGAATAAAAAAATCAATCATGCTGGGTCTGGCCTTGATTGGTCATTTCGGGAGGGGGGCGGTTCCCCGCAGAGTTCTCGTTGCGGCGGTGCCTGAGGGCTCAGAGCGCGGCCGGCTGTGGTGCGGTGCGGAGCTTAGCGGGCGCTCCTTGTCCTTCCCCTCAGCCCGCCAGTGCATCCACCGGGCTGGGCTGAAACCACTGCGGGGCGAGAGGAGGAAGCTGGGCTGCATGAAGTGCCTGTCTCACCCTCTCCCTGTTTCCTTGTGCCTTTCCGCACCAGGGAATGCAGAGAAGCGCTCCCGGGGGTTGCGGGAGCCCCGCAGCTCTCTGGGGCTGCCCACGGCCGGGCCCGCGCTCCTCTGCCGGCTCTGGAGCCTTGCGTAGCTGCAGGGGCTGTCTCGGGGCCACCAAAACGCTTGAAATAATTCCCGTCTAAAGCTTCACATCACAGTGATTATCCTGATACATTCCTGCTTTCACCAGCGCTCCCAAGTTTCCTTGGCGAGCTGGAGCTCGGAGGTTCTCGGGGATGGGGAAGAGGTTTGGGTTCGGTCTGAGGTGAAGGAGCCTTGGCGGCCTCAGGGGCAGGGAATCCCGGCCGCCCTGGAGCAGGAACTCTTCTAAACCCTGTGTTTTGTGAGGATCCCTCTCTAATCCCTGTGTTTTGTGAGGATCCCTCTCTAATCCCTGTGTTTTGTGAGGATCCCTCTCTAATCCCTGTGTTTTTTGAGGCTCTCTCTCTAATCCCTGTGTTTTGTGAGGATCCCGCTGCCACCTGGGGCCTTGACCGCTTCCTCCTCTTTCTCCTGCTCTGCTCTGCCTGTGGGAAATGTAGGTGGGAAAAAGGAAAGGTTCAAAGGGGGAGAAAGTGAGGCAGGGCGGGGTCCCACAACCCTGCTGGAACCGCTGCCCCTGCATCCGACAATCCCATAAATCATCCCCCTAAACCCTCATTCCCCCCAGTAAAACTGTAATTTCAACAGCCAAACTCCAGTTTCACCCTCGACCTTCCAATTTCACAGCTGGATTCCCCAACCCCCAATTTTACATTCCAAACCCTCGTTTCAGCCCCTCCAAACCCTTATTTCTCTACCCAAACCCAAAATGCATCCCCCACGTTTTAATTTCCCTGCCTAAATTCAGATTTCACACCCAACCCCAAATATCTTCTCCCCAAACCCTAATATCACTCCCTCCTATTCCATCCTTCAAACCCTAATTTCATACTCCAACTGCTCATTTCATCCCCTAAATCCTAATTTCCTCCTCCATAACTTAATTTCACCCACCAAACCCTCATTTCATCCTCCCAAACCCTAATTCCAACATCCCAATTTCTTCCCCCAAGCATGAATTTCACCCCATCAGACCCTGATTTTATATCCTAAACCCCTATTTTCATCCCCCTGAACACTAATTTCTTGCCAACAAACCCTAATTTCACCCCATCAAACCCCAGCTTGATCCCATCAAACCCCAGTTTCACCCTCCAAACTGCAATTTCACTTTCAAATTCCAATTTCACCCCACCAAACCCCAATTTCACCCTCCAAACTTCAGTACCATTCCACAAACCCCCAGTTCCACCCCCAAACCCCAATTTCACCCCTCCAAACCCCAATTTTATCCTCTCTACCTGCAATTTCACCCTCCATACTTTAGTACCATTCCACAACCCCCCAGTTCCACCTCTAAACCCCAGTTTCACCCCACCAAACTCCAGTTTGATCCCCCCAACCCCCAGTTTCGCCCTCCTAATTGCTGTTTTTCACTGCCCAGGGCTAACTGGGGAATTATCCAGTAGTTCTTCTTGTCTTCTCTCTAAACACATGGAAATCCAGCAATTCCTGAGGAGGAATTCCCTGGAGCTGCACTGGAGTGGGAAGGGCTCCGTGGAAACCCACGATGCTCCAGCTCCTCTGGGCTGTGTTTGACAATCCCAGCCCAAGTGGTTGGAAATCAGGAGAGCAGGAGGCACAATGTTCCCTCACTGGGAACAGGCATTTCCTCATATCTCTGTGTCACCCCATGGAAATCTGATTGCTCCAGGGTTTAATGCAGCACAGGGAGGATGGAACTGGATTGTTTGGGCAGCGGCCATCAGGCTGTGTCTGTCCCTGCCCTGTTGTTTTCTGGCACAGGGATAGAGGCTCCTGAGGGCTTGGGAGGGTTTCAGTGGTGGGTAAATGGCTGACTGTGAAATCATTCAAGGTTGGAAAAACCTTCCAAGACCATTGTGTTCAACCTGTGCCTGATCTCCACCCTTCTCACCAGCCCAGAGCATTCCTTGGACACTCCAGGGATGGGGACTCCAAACCTCCCTGGGCAGCCCCTGCCAAGCCCTGCCCACCCTTCCCATGGGGAAATTCCTCCTCATGTCCACCCTGAGCCTCCCCTGGCCCAGCCTGAGGCCGTTCCCTCTCCTCCTGTCCCTGTTCCCTGGAGCACAGCCCGACCCCCCCGGCTGTCCCCTCCTGTCAGGGAGTTGTGCAGAGCCACAAGGTTCCCCCTGAGCCTCCTTTTCTCCAGGCTGAGCCCCTTCCCAGCTCCCTCAGCCTCTCCTGCTGCTCCAGACCCTTCCCCAGCTCTGATCCCTTCCCTGGACACGCTCCAGCCCCTCCCTGTCCTTCTTGTCGTGATGAACCCAAAAGTGACCCCAGGGTTGAGGTGTGGGCTCAGCAGTGCCCAGCACAGAGGGACAATCGCTGCCCTGGTCCTGCTGGACACCCTGATCCTCATCCCAGCCAGGTGCCTTTGGCCTTGCTGCCCCCTGGGCACACCTGGGCTCGTGTCCAGCCTCTGTCACCAGCACCCCCAGGTCCTTTTCCAGCTTTCCAGCCACTCTGCCCCTGGCCTGGACTGTTCCAAGGGGCTGTTGTGACCCAAGGGCAGGACCCGGCCCTTGGCCTTGTTGACCCAAAACCATTGGCCTCAGCCCATGGATCCAACCTGTTCAGATCCCTCTGCAGAACCTTCCTGCCCTCCAGGAGATCCACAGACCCCCTCAGCTGGGTGTTGTCTGTGAACTGTCCCCTTTTCCAGATCATGGATAAAGAGATTAAACAGGACCAGCCCCAATCCCGAGGCCTGGGGAACTCCACTAGTGACTGGCTGCGAGTGGATGTTGAATCACAGGATCCCAGACTGGCTGGAAAGGACCTTCAATCCCATCCAGTGCCACCCCTTGCCACAGTCAGGAACACCTTCCACTATCCCAGATTGCTCCAAGCCCCATCCAACCTGGCCTGGGACACTTCCAGGGATCCAGGGGCAGCCACAGCTGCTCTGGCACCCTGTGCCAGGGCCTCCCCATCCTGACAGGGAAGAATTCCTTCCCAATATCCCATCTAACCCTGCTCTCTGGGAGTGGAAAGCCATTCCCTCTTGTCCTGTCCTACCAGGCCTTTGTCCCAAGTCCCTCTCCAGCTCTCCTGGAGTCTCTTTAGTCCCTGGAAGGGGCTCTAAGTTCTTCCCAGAGCCTTCTTTTCTCCAGGCTGGGTGTCCCCAGCTCTCCCAGCCTGGCTCTGTAGTGGAGGTGCTCCAGTTCCTCAACAACTTCATGGTCTCCTCTGGACTCACTCCAACAGTTCCACATCCTTCTAATGTTAGGGCAGCAGAACTGGATGCACCATGATATTTAAGTACAGACCTTAAAATGACAGGAATTGTGTTGGGAACAAACACCGAGCTTCTGAAACTGAGATTCTTCCGTGGAACAACCTGGGAACAGCAGGCGTTTCAGAGGCAGAGCCGTGGTGATTTGGGAGCTTGGTGTGTGTGGATCATCATCAGAGAGCTGAGGCAGACACTGCAGCTGGGTGGATGTGATCAGGTGAGGTGACACGAAGATGTGTGCGGGAGGAGCTGTGGCTGATCCCTGGATCTGTCACATGGGCTTGTCCCAGCTGCTGGATCCAGCTGCTCCCACAGAAACACAGCTGAAGGATGAAGCTCAGGCATTATGGTTTTCCTCTGGAGAAGTTATTCTGTCAAGATGGTACCGTTTTATAGCCATACCTCCCTTCCAGAGCTGCTAGAAAGGGTTTGGGAGGCCGGATTGGAGTTGACTGAGGAATGAGACCCAGCAGCCAGCATGTTTTAGGGAGCAGAATATCCCAGTGTACAGTAAGAAAGCATCACTGCAGTCTGGATCAGATGACCCCACATCCCATGCAGAATCTCTCTCCTCCAGCTCCTCTCCTGCATCTCTGATTGTGTCTGTAGGATTATGGAACCCCAGACTGGTTTGAGTTGGGGTTAAAGCTCATCTCCTTCCACCTCCTGCCGT